GGTGATTTCTGAAAATACGCCAAAAGATCTAGTTTGATTATCCACCTCTGACATGGCAATGGATGAAAATCCAGAGTCCAAAGTTGCAGAATCAAAAGACAATTCAGCAACACTTTCAACCTGCCCAAATTTGTTAGATGCAATACATCTATATGTTCCAGCATCAAGACAAGTAAAATTGTCAATAAAAAGGCTGTAACATTTGTCTTGTACCTCAAATCTATATTTACTGGTATTAAGATCAAGGCAAACATCATCATGGGACCAGACAGCCTCAGGTGTTGGTTCACCAATAATGATGCACTCAAGCATAGCAGTCTGCCCGTCTGAAGCACTAATGTTCTCTAGTTCTCTAACAACCTGGGGAGCTCCACGGCCATCATCAAAAGAAAATGTGAACTTATGCTTCATGGTTTGAGAGGTCCCATCATCAGCCGGAGACTCTGAGGTTTGTTTAACAGGCCCAAATGTGCCTTTAGCCTCATCAACAATCTCTAGCACTGGAGTTGGAGCAGTTATTCTGATCTCAACTGGTGAGGAGTGAATAGACGAGTCTGAAGTTTGCGGTATGTGGATGACTGCCTGAGGCACCTGCAATGTGTATTTGCTGTCTATCTTAGGTTTCGTTAGTGACTTGAGTTCTTCCTCAATCATTTCTTCTTCAGTGAACACTGACTCATCTGTTACTTTAACCTCTTGAGGAGATCCAATCTCTGTCCTTGACAGAACATCTTCAGTTACTTTGAATATGCAACATGTACTTGCTTTTCCATGTTTGTTTGCAATATTACAAGTAAGCAGACCTTGATGGTCAATAGTTGGATAATAAATGGTCAGTGTCGATGAAGTTGCTTTGGAACGAACATCAAAATCAGGGTCTCTCATTATAAGATGTCGATCTTTAAGCCATGAAACAGAGGGTGGGGGATCTCCCTGGAATTGGCAACTTAGTTCAGTCATCTCACCTCTCTTTACCTCAACCTCTGGAATTAATGTTGTCACAAATACAGGTGCTCCCGGTTTTACTATACTCGTAGAGATTTTCCCTGCAGTGGGAGTAACACTGGGGATTTCTTGTTTTGAGAGGGTTTTCTGTTGCTTTATTACATCAGGATCCTGTCTAGGCATTGTCACATCTTTTACATTACCATGATGCCGCTGAACTACATCCTTATTACCCAAATATCGCCTTTCAATACATCCAGTCACATCTGTACTAATTTTATCGGTCACAAACTGCTCAGGCTTTGTATACGAAAGAACTTTTCCAGTTGGTGAAGCTGTGGACGTCAACATTGTCTCAGGTGTTTCAACAGAAGACTGCACATGCTCTGAAATGGCCCAATTAGATTCTAATTCAACACTTTCTTCTTGCTCAATTGGAACATCTTGTTGCCATTTTTTAATACGCTTTGCTAGAGCCTCCTCCTCACTGACAAAATAGTCACTTTCAGTCCTTAACTTCTCACTATCAGCTTCAGAAAGAATCTGCTTATGTGTTTTAGACCTATCAGTTACATAGGACTGAGAAGAAACATCACTAAAGCACCTCTCCTTTGCTGTTCTCTGTGGTGATCTCCTATTCATCTCTTCCACCTCAACATCTTTATATGCTGCTCTTTCTAAAGCACTCTCAGTAACACCACCCCAATCAGGATCTAGTTCAACAGCCTGTTCTTGCACAGTCAAAACATCTTGTTGCCATTTCATTATACGCTGGGTCAATGCCTCTTTTTCACTCACAGGATCGTTTTCACTTTTTAACTCATTTATTCTTTCTCGTGATAAATGTAACTCACTCTCACCTGAGCGTTCATGTGAACGTTTTTCTTTGAATGAAGATCTTGAATTCTTTGTAAATGAGGATTCCCTTTGATCTTTTAAAGCTGCTGCTTCTTCATTTTGGGCTTTACCCAAAGATTCATGAAAATAAGAGCCTTTTTTCTCTGACTTTTGGGGCACAATAGACTCTGCCTTATCAACCTGCACATCTTGTTGCCATTTAGCTAAAAACTGATCTTCACTCTCGAATTGATCACTCTCCAAGTTTTTCTCAAGGATGTTCTCCACAGACATAGCTCTCTTTTCTAATTCCTGTACAGGAGCCCTTTTATTTTCGTGTTGCAGACCATCATCGGCAGGAAATTGTTCCTCCTTTAACTTCACTACCTTTGCTCTTGTACACTCTTTGTCTGCTGGCTTCTCATGTGATGGACTGATTTCCTTTGTACTGCTGACTTGTTTGGAAGCTTGTCCTGTCTCTAACCACTGCAACACAAAAGGTTCCTTTGCCTTGACCTGTTGTGCTTCATCCCACTGCACATCTTGTTGCCATTTTCGAATGCGTTGAGCTAAGAACTGATCTTCACTTTCTAAGCACTCACTCTCTAGGTTTTTCTCAAGGATGTTTTCCACAGACATAGCTCTCTTTTCTAATTTCTGTACAGGAACCGTTTTACCTTCATCACCAAAAAATATTTCTTTCATTGGCTTCACTGCCTTGGCTCTTGAAGACTCTTTTTCTTTTGACTCTTCGTGTGATGAGCTTATCTCCTTTGTATTGCTCGCTTGTTTGGAAGCTTCTCCTGCCTCTAACCACTGCAAGACAAATGGTTCTTTTGCCTTAGTCTGCGCCTCATCATCCCACTGACTAAGGCTAGCATCATCTTTGTGCACTAAAATATCATATTTTATGTCCTTTTCTGACTCCTCTTTCGATGTGATCCTTTGATCCATCCGTGCATCAGATACATCAACTTGGACGTCTTTTCTTAAAGTTTCTTCTAGAGGAGGTTCACCCTTCATCATTCGAAGTGCCCTAGATCTTGACTGAGGCTCAAAAGAGTGTCTAACTCTTCGATCAGTTGATTGAGAGCGAATTCCGGTAATTCTCTCCAGTCTACTCTGATATTCTGCTGAACCTCTACCACTTTCACCTTGCTCACCAGGATGAACGACATGTTGAACTTCAGGCAAAGTAGATGGCTTGACTCTGAGTCTCTCAACGTAATCTGTGTAACAAGGCTCACTTGTAACTGATTCCACTTCAAACTCAGATGAGGACATTGTAGAAATAGAAAGTCTCTTTTTCTTTTTGACAGCCTTTTGTAAGAGACTGAGTTTTGCTTTAACCTCTCCATGAAGGCTGTCTGTGTCGCTAAATCTGTCGCTGTACCTATCACTACACCGGTCACTGAATTTATCACTAAACCGATCACTGTATCGGTCACGTCCTGTGAATCTGTCACAGTATATATCACTGTATCGATCACTGAACCTCTCGTATCTCTCATACATCGGAGTTGGAGAGCGTGCACGTTCAGATGCTGTCTCAAACTTGCTGTCCCTGTCTGTTCTTGATGGGGATGAAGTTCTAAAATACATTGTTCGGAACAGAGTGCTTTTTGATCTATGACGTCCCTTAGTTTGCCCTTTAGTTGTTTTATCAAAAGGAGAGCCAACACATCTTAGATCTACTCTAAATGTTCTTTCTTTTGTTGAATCAGCTAATGAATCGGAGCTCGAGTGGGCTTTGTTTGAAGATCTAGAATGAATGAAATAAGTAACATCTTGCTCTTCCCTCAGTGATACAAGAAGTGATGCTGTGGTTTCAGCAGATCCTTCAGTGTTAATTGCCATGACTTTGTAACTGCCTGAATCTTTTTCCTTAATCCCCTCAATTGTTAAACTGGTTGCGTGCATATGCATTTTACTAACTGTATATATTTTACGATGGTGCTCCTTCTGTATTTGTCTGTTATTATGAAACCACAATATCGTTGGAGGTGGCATTGCAACTAGCTTGCACTTAAAAGCTGCAGTGTCACCCTCCACAACAGACTGAAATTTCAGCTTTTTGGTGAAGGAGGGTTTAATGTTTTCAGATGGGGCTACAAGACCTTGATCTAAATTTTCTTCTGGGTCTGAAAATGCACTAGATTGTGGTCTTCCTTTTTCCATGTGTTCAGTTCCTTCATTATAAAACAACTCTGGAAAAAAAGGAGACAAATTTCAACAAAATGCACAGTTTGCTAAAGAAACTGAAATATATATCAAATAGAATATTAATAGATATATTAAAGCATGCATCAAGTCACAAAGCCATAAAAAACAAATTCACTCACCATATTTGTTCGAATAAACGCAAGACTTGAGTCTTTATTAAAGATTCTGACACGAAAATCGCTTGATGTTTTGTTCCTTCTTCTGTGGACAGTTCTTCAAAGCATAAATTTCTTTTCAAAGCATTAATACGTATCCAAATAATACTGATCTGTTCCGCAAAAGAGCCTCTTATATATTTAAATTGGTGTATATATATCCTAAAATATTCCTTACCTGACTTGCAGAATGATGAATAAACGCCCTTTCTAATCCTTAGAATGACGGAAATCTTTCATACATATAGAGAAACATCACTCTCTATTGATAAAAAGAAGAGTGTGGTCATTAAAACAGCTCTAGATTTCTTTGAGAAGGCGTTTATTCGAACTAATATAGTTTACACGTATAACCATGTTATTTTAAAAAGCAAACAACATTAATCACATACCGCTATCTGCAAGCCAGTCTAAGAAATATTTGCAGGAAGGTGTTCCAGATGCAAGAAACATAAGAAGCAATTAAAAGATGTGGCTAATTCCATATCTTTTAAAACGTAATTTCCTGTGGTCTGGAACTTTTAAAGGACAATCATCCTGCACTTTTTACTTCTAAAACAACCAAGAAGTACCATATCCTTCATGCTTTTCAAAGGGGAATGAACAGATGCAAAACTTTGCAAAAGTGCTTCACAGCAAGCATTTTACCAATCAAATTGCTTGCTATCCAAAAACACTTGATTCCAACCATACACATATCCAACAGTAACATATGAAAGTTGTTCCCATTAAAGAGGATGTGTTTGCATGCAATACAATATGCTTGGAAATGTTAAATTTAATAGTTTTACAGAGAGACATCATTATTAAATAAGTTTTATACTGTAATTAAGACCCTACCTTTGACCTCTTCCTCAATTTTTGCTTCAATCTCCTCTCGTGCTTTTGTAACTGTAAAAAAAAAATAAGAGTAATATGAATAAATGAATAACAAACAATTAGCCAAATATGCCACCTACAACATGCAAAATCCAAGCAAACATCACTGTAGCAATAATCCATTCTGCATGTAAAAACAAATGTAAAAATGTTAAAAAGATGTGAAACATGGGATTTCGAAAAAGCATGCATTTGCCAGCCCGACGCCAAGAGAGCACTGTATGATACAACTTCTTCAGCAGCACTGACAAGGTTTCATAAAGTGAAGTTAGTAAAGGTGATCAGGAAATTCACTGAGAGATTCTTGAGGTTGACTGAAAGGCTTAAAAAGTAAATGACGTGAATTAATCGTGATTTGTTAATCAAAAACCATATACTACTTTGATCTCAATTACCTTCTTCTGTTACAGCAAGGATGGCTGAGCAAGCTGCCTCTCCTGCGATATTGACTGCTTTGCAAGTGTACTGTCCAGCATGCTCAGAGAAAGTATCAACTATGATTAGCGTAGCAGTGTTTGTCATCTCATCAAAATGAAAGACAACATTTTTGGTAGGCTTTATAGACTGTTGGTTATGGAACCAACATATCTCTGGTTTTGGCATGCCAGACACACAAGCATGGAATCTAGCCACTTCTCCGTGAGCCACCACGCAGCTCACAATAGGCTGAATAAAAGTTGGCCTTTGGCCAGTAGGATCCTTCTGAACAGTCTTAATGCTTGTGAAGAGGCTGGATGTGGCTTGCTCAGATGTATAGTCCGTAATTTGTGTTTGTCCTGAAAGGAAGTATTGATTTGTCCTCAACTAATTACTATAGTGCACACATTGAAGTTTGTTTGTACAAAACTCGTTCTGTTTTCACATTTGTCTGACAAAATTGGTCTGTATTAACTGTAGGGCTGTTTCAGCTATTTCAGCATTATCTATCTCATGCTTTTGTGTAGTCACGCATTAATAAATTCAGTTCTTTTTTTAAGGAAAGTAAAAAAAGGCCTATTCGCAATCATTACATATTCAGCAGTTTGTGTGGATGACACTTAGCATAAATTTATGCATTTTACTCATTGCACTTACAAAAAAAAAATCAACAGATTTTAGATTTCTCACACTGCATAAAAATACATAGGTAAGGTGAACTGAAAAAAAATGCAGTTCTCTGCTTGTTTTTGAATGAATATTTCTATCAGTGATAGAATGCCAATTATTTTAAGAATTTACGGAGAAACCAGTGCTCAGCTAGTCACTTGTGCATTCATGTAGTTCTAATTCACTCTGAATTGTTCATTCAGTTTTTAGAAATCATTGTTTTAGTAATCATTGTTAGCTTTGAAAGCCCTAATTAACAGACAAATCACCACCAACTGTGTTATTAATTAATAAAAACTAACATACATTATAATTAAAGCCATTATCAGTTTTTTTTTTATTAGTTTGCGATTTTTGGTTGGTAAGAAAGTTTAACTCACCGTCCACTTTCAGTACAGCAGAACAGGAGACCATTCCTGCAGAGTTACGGGCAACACATGTGTACTCGCCCTCATCCTCAGGATAAACTCTGGTGATCTCCAACTGACAGTTTTCATCAAACTGAGACACTCTGAATATATCAGACTGCTTGATCTCCTTATCTTTGCAATACCAAGTAATTGTCAGATCTAAACAGGAGTAAATCAGAGGAATAAGCATAAGCATCAATTAAAGGCAGGGTATGTGATTTTTCAAAAACACTTTAGAAAACTGATTCGGGCCGAATAACAAAAACTTGTAGCCAATCAGCAATAAGGGGCGTGTCTACTCGTGATGTGGAGGAGAGAGCTTTCAGTGCATACAGAAAGAGAGCCGAGCGACAGAAAGAGAGAGATGGCGGATAAAAAACAAAAGAGGAAAACGTCTGCGGAACGATAAGGCAAGAAGTAGGACCCGTGTAAATATCGGATCAGCTTTCCAGAGAACTCAAGGAGCGGAGGCCTGCGATCGGACGCCGAGGTTGCTTTGTTTCTTCTCAATAGGTGAGTAACACCGTGCCTACAACAGCTAAAGTCTGCCTACACTAGACGCGATCAAACGACCGTTGAAAACCATTTGAAATGTATGTCAGCACGTCATAAATAGAACCCGGCAGCAGTTTTCTGTCGGGATTTGTTGCGCCGCGCCGCTCACCTCCGTAGACACGGTGTAACATTGGTTTTGCTTTGTTTCACAGAACCAATCGTTGCCTGGGTTGCGTATGTAGTAATTTTTCAACTCAAAAAGGGAAATATTTATGACGAATTATAACTGGTTATGATTCATAAT